AAGTAGAGTCAGTGAATCAGAGGAAGACCCTTGACAAGATAGGTTGACACCGTGGCTGGAAACAGTGGGCTCGAACGCAGCAACAAGCGTGTCGTGGGTGTGTGATGTCTGCTTTCCGCTTATATCAACATCCAGTGACCGTCTTAAGGACTGTGACCTTTTTTTGTTTTGTTTTGTTTTTTAATGGTTTCTTGTAAATGGAGTGAAGATTTACAGGGCCGACCTTAGGTTCACAGCCCACACATCTTCCTGTGGTTCCGCTCAGTGATCGCCATCCCCTCCCTCTTCTCCCATGAGGTTCTTCTCTCCATTCCACCCTAGTGCCCATCCTTTCCCAACTTTGCCCTCAGGTAAATGGTGCCCTTTTGATCTTGCATGGCTGACCATTCAAGGTGAGGCTACCTTTCTAAGGCTGTTGCCCTCCCTATGTACGTATCGAATGCTGGCTTGGAAATACAGCCATGCAAAAACCATGTGGGGACCACGTCTGAATTCCCCAAGGCTTCACAAGAAGGAAAGAGAAGCAAACTCAAAACCAGCCCAAGCGGAGGTCAGACCTGCTCCCACCCTACAACCTTCTGTCCCCTGTTCTGACACCAGCCGTCCTGTGGGAAGCCACAGCTTTCTTGGCTTCACATCTGGGCTCCAACGTGGATGACGAGCTATGCTGGTAACCACAAGGTCAGCAGTTCGAGTCTACCAGTTGAGCCTCAGGAGAAAGATGAGGCTTTCTTTTTTTGTTAAGATTTACAGCCTCAGAAAACCTATAGAGGGTCTCTGTGATTTGGAACTGACTGTATGGAACATCACCACCACCACAGGTTACAAGGGTGGGTTCCATTCCAGACCTAAAGGGTGTCTGAGGACCCCAATCTAGGGCTCCTTTAGTCTCCACCTGGTCTTTTTAATAGATAATTTGATCAATAGACTGGCTAACCAAATCAGAGCCCATTGTCACGGGTCACATTCCAGTAGTGTCTGCCCAGCCACTGAGAACTACAGCCTGAGAAATGCGTGAACGTGAACCATCACACCGGGCAATGATGATTATGAATGTGTTGTCATTGCTAAGTGCCGTCAAGTCGGTTCCGACTCATAGCCACCCTGCATAGCGTTTCCAAGGATCAGCTGGTGGGTTCTAACTGCCAACCTTGTGGTTCACGGTCCGGTGCTCATCGCCCTACAGTGAGTGGTACACCAGGAACCCATACATGTAGGGTCTAATGTTACTTGAAGAAAGCAATGCCATATTATAAATGTGCTATGTTGAAAGTTAAAAATAGAAGAGGATTCTGTGAAGAGTACATTTATCTCAGGAGTGATGTGGGGCTGGGCCTCACACGGTGTCCCCAGCAGTGTAGCCAGGTGACACCCCACAATCCCAGCAGGCCTGGAAAGATGTGCTCATAACAACATAGAAGGCAGAATGTCAGAGCTTTAGGGACACTGTAGGATAAACACTGGACTGCTGTCCACAAGGCGGGTGGTTCAAACTTAGCAGCCACTCCACAGGAGAAAGGGGAGGCTTTTTGATCCCATAAAGTTTGCAGCTTCGGAAACCCTACAATAGGGTCACCATGAGGGACAAGTGATTCCATGTGCTGGGTTACATCCTATTGCTGTTGCCTCATGGGAGTCAAGGACTGATGTAGGGTGTCTGCTCTGAGACTTGCTCCATGTAGGAGGGGTCCTCACTCAGGAAAAGCATCGCAGATTCTGAACACAGGCCTGAGAGCCTCATGAAGTGACCATGTCCGATAGTTGCTGAGTTTCTAAGCGGTAGCTTCCTTCTGTCAACGAGAATCCATTGACTGTAACCTTTGATTCGAGTGGACAGTAAGAGGGAAGAACTCAGATGGACGCCATCTTGTGGGGACACCCAATACCATTCTTGCCTTTTGCCCTGCCCTAAACCTGTTTGGGATTATGGCCATATTTCCATATTTTCTTCTTTGGCCAGATATTTCACTGTAACCACATTTTTGTCACAATGGGGAACATGCTTTCTACGAAGCAGGCATTGTGCTCAGGTAGTCCATGGGCCCGATTACTTAGTGTCGTTTCAGCTTCTCTCCTCAACCAGTCAGCAGTTTGTGGCTCAGCTTTGTGATCATTACTCGAGAGTGTTTCGGTTCCCTCAGGGGCAGTCTGTGTTATCCACAGACACCCACATGAAGCTCCACACTGGTGTCATTATGAAGCTTTTACCATTCACTTGACCAACAGAACGAAAAGACTTCAGAGTGGCTGGAGTCCACTGCGCACTCCTCGGGCCTCCTGCTTCAGTGCTCTCGGTTATAAAACTGTAAAGGGTCAATGAGAAAGAGGAAGACCTGCCATGGCATGAATTTATCTTAGAAGGAAGGATAGCACGACCCCATCTCACAAAAAGGACCACTTTCTGGAGAAGGGAATCCTGTTTGGTGAAGTGGAGGGTCAGTGAGAAAGAGGAAGCCCCTTCATGAGATGGGTTTACGCGGTGGCTGCACCCATTGGCTGAAACCCAGGAACCACAGTGGGGATGGGCCGGAGCCAACAGTGTTTTTCTTGTTACACTTGGGGTCACTGATTCGTAGGCATCTAACACCAGGAGCACAGAACTTGTGGTAAAGATGAGGCCACCGTAGTGCCGCCTGTGTCTTCCTGAGCCTTGATACCTTGGACAGGTTCATACACTGAACTTGCCGTAAGAGTTGGGTGTTGGTCGAGTTCACAGGAGTGGTTCGTGAGGAAAGGGCCCTTATTCCCAAGTGTCTGAGAAGCTGCCTGGACCCAGTAGGACGGAGAGCGCTGTGCTCGCGTGGACCTGCCTGGTGTGTACGCCTGCATCTGTGTTTCATCGGGGCCCAAGAGACAGAGATTCTGACGTGGGTCTGGGAATCCAATGTCAGGTGGCTCCTTCCATGTTATAGACAGGCGCCCACATGAAGCTCAGAAACCGGTGTCATTTTCAAGCTTTTGGATTCCTGGTGTAGGGCTGGAGTGCAAAGTTGACTTGAACTGCAAGGCTGGCAGTTCAAACCCACCAGCCGCTCCTCGGAAACCCCATACAGGATCGCTGTGAGTTGGAACCAACTCAGAAGCACTTAACAGCAATAACACCACCAAGCTTTATCCTCCTGTTGAAAACAGAGCTAAAATAACCTACAATGATGAGACTTGACTGCGTGCCATTGGCCATGTTCTGCCCCAGCCCCCACCTGGCTTGGCAGCCCTGTGCAGACTGGCCCGCCCGAGCTGCCTTCCCAGTGAGAGGTCTACCCTCACTCTGTGCCCTCGGTAGAAGGCTGGGCTTCAAACTAGACCTCGTTCCCAGGTGGAAGTCAGTAACAAGAAAGGAAGAAAGCAGGCAGCCCAACTGCTCTTGTGTGTTTCACTGCTTTTGTGTGGCTCAGTTGTGTGCCCCATTGACTCTGGACAAGCTAAGGAGTCATTGGGTGGAGCCGGTAGTGAACACTCTCATGCGCTTGCCGAAAGCTCTGCCGTGTGATTCCATTCAAAGGTGTCTCTGAAGAGACACCTGCACATCTGCTTCTGAAAAGTCAGCGCTGTTCTCCTCTGACACGCACAGGGCGCTGTGAGTCAGTGGACAGGATGGGAGATGTGAAGGTAGCACTGTCTCCACTGTGCTCTCCTGCCTTTGTACACGTTCTCCTGGTGTGCGAGGTGCCACAGGATCCCTCAGCTCATATCCCCTTCCTCCAGCGGACCGTCATCAGTCTCTCTGGACAGTGGAATCTTCTGGCAGTTCGTGCCACTGGCCGTGAGCACATTGTGTACGTTCAGGCACACCTTTCATCGTGCCTCACAGATACTGTGCTGTTCACAAATGGGAGGTTTGGGGCAGCCCTGTGTCCAGCAAGTCTACCATCGTCATTTTTCCAACAGCAGGTGCCCACTTGGTATCTGTGCCGCGTGCTGGTCATTCTCAGTGCCCAGCCTTTGTCTGCATGCTGTTACACACCCCAGAGACCACAATATAGTGTCCACATCACTTCCTGAGCATCACAGATACCTCGCTTTACTGTGGGTGGTCAGTACAGAACCTATAATGCCCCGGAGTCAGCCTGTACAGGGTGAGGTCAGCCTGCTCTGCAGTGGATGCTCAGTCCTGCCTGTCTCCAGAGCCCTTGCATATGACTCTAGAAGGAGGCTGGGCAGGACCAGGTGTGAGGAGGGCCAGGGCAAGGCCGAGGGAGGGAACCTGGGGCCATGATTCAAGTAGACCCCCCACCTGCCCTGTTAGCTGCAGGCGGGCTTTGTGTGACGTCTCATTCACTACCCGTGTGCAGATCGTGAAGGTGGGAGAGCTAAATGGAACGGGATGATGTTCCCTTTTCTCTGGGTGCCTTCCTCACTGAGGTCTGTCTGGGGATCAAATGAGCCCTTGAGGCCTTTGGACTGTGTGTTTGTTGGCTGCAGCTGTGGGACCCTGCACGCTCCCGAGACTGCCCATTCGACGCCCCCACAAAACCATGGCACAAGCCAGAGATTAGGAGTGGTTTTCTTTGTGTCCTTGACTGTCGGAGCTGAGAGGACACAGGGGAGGTATTCATAGTCACCTGTGTTTTATGGAAGAAGCCCTGGTGACACCATGGTGAAAGCACTAATCTGAAGATCGGCAGTTCAAACCCACCAGCCGCTCCAAGGGAAACCCATGCCTGGGAAGCCCGGTGGGGCTGTGCTTCTGTGCCCGCCTGTGTTGCTTTGTGCTGGAATCGCTGCAAGGCAGTGCGTCTTTGGTTTGGCTGTTTTGTGATGTGGCTGGTACAGTCTCTTTCTCCACATAAACCTGACTTTTTTCTGGTCTATACTCCCACGAGGGCTTCATCCACCTTTCAGGCCTTTTCTCACATTCGGTGGATTTGAACCTTTCGTCTCCCAGGGTTCCGACGAATACAAGTCACCATATACAAGTGGTGCATCAGCTCAGGTGCATGCGGGAGCCAGGAGCGGCACAGGTATCTGCTTCCTGCTAACCCTGTGGTGTGTGTCCACAGCGCCTGCATAGGGGCCCAGGACCCATACTGTGGCTGGGACGTGGCCATGAAGAAGTGCACCAGTCTGGAGGAGAGCCTCAACATGGCGCAGTGGGAACAGAACATCTCCACCTGCCCCGTAAGTGTCCTGCTCTCCCAGTGCCCGACCCTGTGCTTTCCTGGGGTCGCGGGAACCTTTCCTCTCTGTGTGTCCCATAAGTTTCGGCCACTGACCCCGAGACCTCCAACCCCACTGCAATGGGAGGTCTGGGGGATCGTCCCTTACAAACTCTTAGAGGCTGCTCATTTGTTTGGAAGGGAGAGTCAGCTCTGTCTGAAAAATGGAACGGAACTTCTTGGCTTCATTCTTGGGCTTTTATCTCCAGAGTTTGGGGTGAACTATCCCACCCTTAATAAATGAGGAACTCACATGCCTACAGCGTTCCCTCAGGAGCAAGGCTGCGGTCCCAGACGCTGAGATAAGTGGATCCTTTCCAGAACAGACTGAAGGGGATTACCACTGAGTGCCATTTGGACACTCACTGCTGCGGAGGGTCATGGGAAGTCTCTGAGAAACATCCTGGTGCCCGTTCCCACCCCGAGCCCTGTGGGAGATGGAGAAAGCTCCCACATTCTGAGCCAGGCTCTCCAAGTTCAAGAGAAGCAGCTTCCAGAGTTCCCCGTGGGACTCGAACTTGTAAGAACCCAGTCTTTATGTCTTTAGCATCCTTCATCTAGTCACTCCGACCTCTTCCCTGCCTGTACACCAAAGCGAGCAGCTTCTACTTATTTGGAAAGTGATCCAAAAATCATAGTGGGCCCAGAACCACTGCACCATGACCGCCAGCCCTTTGGTATTTCTGCAGATCAGAGGCATGGGGAGAAGCAACTCCATACTGAGCCGACATCCTGGTCATTCCCCAGCACAGTCGGTCCTCGGTCAGAATGAAAACAGGAAGAGCCAGCTGGCAGTCAGTCGCTGCTTCCCTTCCCGGTCTGCCTCAGTGCAGAGGAGCCTCAGCTTTCTCAGTGGAAGGCTCTGAAACCAAAGCACCCTGAGCCCACTGGGAAAGCCCGATGATAAGTGCCAGGTGCCCTGGGACCTCCATCTCAATGATGTGGAGTTGTGTGATGATGACGGCGTCACCCTTAATGTGTGGGTCAGATCCTCTACTCCCCAAGAGTCTGTGCCAGCGATGGAGCCCCAGCATCCTTCCCAGGAACTTAGAGGCTTAACAAGCCACTTCCCCCGTCAAAGGCCCCTGTGCCATGGGCTCTGTGTGCAGAGAGAAGACGGTAATGTGCTGGTGTACGGAGTGCAGAACAGTGCTCCCCGTGGACGGGATGTGAGAGGCTTGATCCAGAGCTGAGTGCAGACAACGGGCGTGCGGTTTAGGGTCACACGCCTGCCTGCCTTCTGACAATCCTGTAGGATGCTACAGGCTGCAGAGGCGCCCTGGGCTCGGTGAGTGCGTGGAGGCCATCCTTGGACTTGGTGAGCACTGGCCACTCATGTAACATACATGACAATGCAGACAACGTGTTTGATCCCTAATAACCTCATGTATGCCCACAATCACAATAATGTGCATGGTTGTGTGTGCTCACTCACATAACATACATGACAGCGAGCATAGCACACGACCACCAGTATCACACATGTACAGATCAATATGGCATGCATGATGTAGATAACATGCATGGCCACGCCAGCACACATGTTCTCTAACATAGAACACACACTCATCAATGTAACATGATCGCTAGTGTAACATATGATCACTAGTACAATATACATGGAGACTAATATGATTGCATGGTTTCCCAGAATAGCATGCATGACCATGTCGAACACATATGACTACCAGTAGCGCATCCAAAGCCACTGGTATAGCACACATGATGGTCAATATACCCCACATGGCTACTAGTACAAAACACACTATTATTACTATAACACATGTGAGCAGTAGTACTGCATGCATGACCACTCGTTCAATACATGACCACCGGTACAATACACACTAGTGTAACACATGTGATCCCCATAAAACACGTGGTCACTAGGACAACACTGCTGACCACAAATACAGCAAGATGACTACTACTCTGATGTGCACATTCAGTAGTACAATAGGTGGTCTCTTTAGAACATGTATGATCACTACATACATGACCACTAGTACAACACAGAAGACCACGACTATAACACAATCGCTAGTATAGTCACACATGTGATCCCTATGTAACATGTGATAATTCGTATAACATACATGACCACTAGTACAACACAGAAGACCACGACTATAACACAATCGCTAGTATAGTCACACATGTGATCCCTATGTAACATGTGATAATTCGTATAACATACATGACCACTAGTACAATACAGGCAATCACAGTATAACATGCACAATCACTAGTGTAGTGACACATGTAATCCCTATGCAACATGTAATAATTAGTGTAGCATGCATGACCATTCATACAACACAGGTGACAACTAGTAAAACATGTACAATCACTAGTATCACATGTGATAACCATGTAATGTGATTATTAATGTAACCTACATGAACACTAGTACAATACAGACGACCAGTGAGAGGACCTCGACCATGGCCAGCTGGTCTCCAGTGAGAGGGCCTGGGCCCAGAACACTCTAGTTAGCCCTGCAGGAACACCCACCAGGACCATTTCATTCTTGGGTCTGAGTGGTCACCATGTCCCCAGAGCAGGGGCTGCTCGGTGGCCCATTGTCCCCCAAGGACCTGGGCCTTGTAGTAAAGTGGGGCCACTATCAAAGAAGGAACAGGGAAGTATGGTCAGTGGTGTGTCCAGCACACTGAGTATCACGTGAGGCAGTGTCCGGAGGAGCCTCATTTAGCCGCCACAAGACTGCACACCGTGGAGTCCTTGCTTCTGGAAGAGCTGGGACTCGGAGGCATTGATACAGACTCCTGGATCTCCCGTAGAGACTCCTCAATATCCCGGCTTCATCCTCAGATCTGTGATCTGTTCCTATAGCAAGGCCTGGGGGTGATGGGAACACCCCGCATAACAAGTCAGGTCTTCCTGAACCACAGAGCCAGTAACCATCTCCAGCAAAAGCTACTTCCATGAAACTTTGAAAATAAAGGGAAAAATAAATTTAACCCTCTGAGAAGAAGTGTCCAAATGTAAGCTCTCAGCGTAACCTTGAAACAGCAGTCGTAAAATCAAACAACATATTGAATTGAGCAAATCTGCTGTAAAAAGACCTCTTTAAAATGGTCTAGAGCAAATGGTCTAGAGCAAATATGTCACTTTGAGGGTGAAGACGTGCCTGACCAATGAATAGAGAAGTCCGGATATTAATTGATGTCTTTGATTGCTGGTGTTGACAAATACTGAATATACATAGGGCTGCTGGAAGGATGAACAAACATGTCTGGGAAGAAGTACATTCAGAAGGCTCCTTAGAAGCCAGGATAGCTACTGATTTCATCTCACATACTTCAGACATGCTATGATGAGGAACCAGTCCCTGGAGAAGGACATCATGCTTGGGAAAGCTTGTTGTTGTTGTTGTTGTTGTTGTTAAGTGCCGTAGAGTCGATTCCGACCCATAGCGACCCTGTACAGGGTTTCCGAGGCTGTAAATCTTTATGGGAGCAGAACGCCTCATCTTTCTCCCGTGGAGCGGCTGGTAGTTTCGAACTGCTGGCCTTAAGGTTCACAGCCCAATTCGTAACCACTACGCTACCAGAGCTCCTTTTGGGAAAGCTAGGGTCAGGGTAAAAGAGGAGGACCCTCAACGAGATGGATCAACACAAAGACGGCAGCAATGTGGTCAACCAGAGCAGCAATTCTGAGCATGGCTCAGGATCAGACAGTGCTGCATTCTCTCACGCATGGGGTCACTATGAGTCAGAACCTACTCAGTGACACCTAACAACAACAACAACTTACCCTAGTAGAGTGAAAATGTGGAGTAGGGAGAGTCTTAATGTGTGCTCTGCTCCCAGTCGGACCACTTCCTGGACCAGTGGGGAATGAAAGGACCGCACATGGATGCATGAAACTTAGAGCCACGGATTGTGTCTGCTGCCATGTCGAGTGTCCCACAGCTCCAGGAGATGCCACATTGTGTAGGTGAAGACAGCGTGGCTTTTTAAAAAGTATGGAAGGACCCCACCGTAGAAGGAAGTGGTCGGGATAGCATATGCTCTAAACCCAGCTTGTTGGGCTGATTCTGAGAAAAACTTTAGAAACCTCTGACCCCTCGCTTCTCTGAAGTGGGATCTAGATCGTAAGGATGCTGTGAGGGTCCAGGGAGCTAACACGGTTCCTGTCATTCACTAAACTACATAAAATACAAGTGGTGTGATGGCTTAACATTTGCCGTGACTAAGCGCAAACCCAAGCCCACCCATGCCGCTGCATGTATTCCTATGCCTAGCACTCTGTAAGGTAGAGTAGAGTTGTCCCTTAGGCTTCCTGAGGTAGCAGACCGACAGGGAATTCATCTAGGTGGGTTCAGGTAAGTTAAGAAAAAAGAAATTGGCGTGTTTATATATCAGTGTATTTCTGTGAAATATAAAGGGTACAGTCAGTGTGTTGTATTTTGTACACATATCCATTCCAAGTGCAGTGAGGAATTGTGAGGATTGCACAGGACCGGGTGGTGTTTCGTTCTGCTGTACATAGGTTCATTGTGGGTCAGAACTGACTCGACAGTACTTAACAATAACAACATATAAAGTGTTAGATTCTATGTCCACTATGAAATGGAAAAGTGGACCAGCCCCCTCCTCCATGGTTGGTGTTCTGAGCAGATAGATTCTAGCCCCGAGCACGTAGGCTCAACCAGCCCAGGGATAAAAGTCACCCAGAGAGCCCCACGGATGAGCTGTCCACTTTTCTAAAGATTGCTCCTTCCCACACTTTGAAATTTAATCATGTCCACAGCTAATACTGCCCCTCAAAGTCCATTGCTCGTCCTCTCTGAGGAATGTGAGGCCCCTGCTCGTGCCGTGCAGGGCAACCCCTCTATGTTCTCCTTGGACCCCCACGTTAGCCCACAGTGCCAGGTCGGTAGGGTCTTCACTCCCGCTCGGTCCCCCACATCCCACTGGCTCTCCCCCTCTTGTCCGCCCCTCCTCCTCCATGATCACCTCCTCCAGCTGTGGACACTGTTTTGATGTTGAAATCCTGCCAGCATGTCCTCCCCAAATCATAGTAATGAAAACCCTGAATGAATGTGTGGTGAGGGGCCTTTCTGACACTGTTCTGCACCCTCCAGGTCAGGAACCTCACCGTGGACGGGCACTTCAGTACATGGTCCCCATGGGTGCCCTGCACCCACACAGACGGCAGTGCCCAAGGCTCCTGCCTGTGCCGGACCCGATCCTGTGACAGCCCGGCCCCCCAGTGCGGAGGCTGGCCCTGCACCGGACCCAGCGTGGAGATAACCAATTGCTCCAGGTGCGTCCTGCTCAGCACCCCGGTAACACCCCCGGCACGCTGGGTTCACCCACGGGACTCACGGAGCACTCAGGGGACACCTCCAGACACACAGGGAACACCCAGAGGTCACTCTCAGACACCCGGAGGACCTGCAGATTTTTAAGGACGTTTAAGGAAAGACTGAAATGTGTGGCTGCTTTCATCATGAACTCTGCAGTGTATTTGTGATTTCAGAAGTAAAACCATCTGCATTAGAATGGATTCAACAGAGATTTCATTTTAGCACTAAAAGTACTAGATGACCTTTTTTTTTTTTTAATAGTAGTGGACAAAACAAAGTCTAGGAAGGTATTTAAATGTTAAGTGTTCTAGATTAGGCATTCTAACAAATCAATATGTTATTAAACCAAAAATATTTATTCTCTAGCTCTCACTGAAACACAGCAAACAAATCAAAGCACCGGCTGTTGGTGGTGCAACTCCTACGCATCTCCACCCATAGGGCAGAGTGGAACCACTCCACAGGGTTTCCAAGATTGTAAATCTGTACAGAACCAGGCTGCCAGATCTTTCTCCTGCAGAACAGCAGAGGATTTGAACCACTGACTTTGCAGTTCACACACTGCAGCACCATGGCCCCTCCCATTCCAGCATTGATTACTTCTTATTACATATATATCTGCCTCATGACATAATCTTCACTTTAACATAAATTACACAGACAGAGGAAATGTTCACTCCTTATTAATATTCTTTTTATCTTTGTCAGTTTGTACGAACATGGGTCAAAGGTCTGAGTTTAAATACCCTTTCTTCATGGCTAACAAAGATGGTTTTAAGCCTTTGGCCCACACAGCATTATTTATCCACATTAATGCTATCAGTAGAGCATGTGCCTCATATGAATCGATGTGTAAACACAGCCTCCAGTGTAGTTTTAAATGGTTATTTGCTCCGAACATGTGTTCTTCATAGATTACAATGGATAGGATGCATGTCAAATACAACCATGAACTCAAGATCCGAAAAGATTTGTGTCTCGATACTTTTTAATGAAATAACATTATTTATTCTTCCATTGTTCCTTAGTATATTCTTTATAATGCATTTAAAAACATCAGACTCACACAAAAGTCAGATTCCTGGGGCAAGAAGTGTAAAGTCACGGAGAGGCATAGCGTGTGTCCTTAGGGTTCCTGTGACCACTGTGCCCCAGACCAGGCAGTTCCGACTCAGGGATGGGTCTGCAGGTGGCTCTGGTGCTGACGACATGCGCCTTTTCTCCCCCAGGAATGGAGGCTGGACCCCCTGGACGCCCTGGTCCCCCTGCAGCACCACCTGTGGGATCGGCTTCCAGGTGCGGCAACGCGCCTGCAGCAACCCTACACCACGCCACGGTGGCAGGGTGTGCGTGGGTCAGAACCGAGAGGAGAGGTAGGTGCCGTCGTCCCTCGGCTCCTGTAGCTGAGTTTTGGGTCTAGTTTAGCTCATCTGTGGCCTCCCTTTCCTTCGTCTCTGACATTCTTTAATTTAGACTAGACTGTCTGCTGCACGTCACCTGGCCCACCAGGGCTGTCTCCTTCACGTGGGTGGGCAGTTCCCAGCAGCCAGGGGTAATGGCTCTGCATGCAGCTCCCTGATACCCCAAAGAGTGGGTTCTTGCTGGTATCCAGCTCAAGCAGTCTCAGAACATCTGAGCCAAGTCCTGATGGTCCAGGTGTAAATGGTAAGACAAGGGAGCTTTCCTTCAAAACTAAATAAAGTACCTGGTGCAGGATTTTGCTTACAGCTGTATGTGGTAAGCGAACACCTGTTACCAAGCACCCTCAGAAAGCTGCCATAGAAGCCAGATGTGGGCTTCTTCCCCATGTGGTTCCTCAGCCACCAGCTTGGACATGGCTACATTGCAGCTCAGCTTTGGATCTAACTCTGTTGCTTTGAGTAGCTTAGACATTGGCCTCCATTGTGATTGTTGAATCCTTCTTGCATTATCTAAAGTACATCCCAGTGTGTGGTCGTTGTGTGAGAACCCAGATAGGGTCAGTGACAAAGAGGAACCTTCCATGATCTGGACTGACCCAGTGGCCACAACCATGGACACCAACAAAGGAACCATCATCAAGTTGCAACAAGACAGAGCAACTTTCCATTCTGTCATTCCTGAAGTCGCCAAGATGTACACAGCTGACTTGATGGCACCTACCAACAACAACAGAACCAAAGATTCTGGTATACTGACCATGATGCATAACCACCAACA